AATTGCCAATGTTGAGGTTGATAACTTTTCGGTAAACGATGTCGAGGTTGACGACGACGAGGATACCGAGCTTGACGACGAAGCTGATGGAGTACCATACATCGGCAAGGTCGTCGCTCTCGCCGACACCGTCGAAGCTGTTGAAGTTGTCTCTGAAGACGACATAGCAGTAGCAGAAGACGAACTAGGCTTCAACGGGTACATGCCGCCAGTAGGCATGGTCATCGTACTATCTTTGTGTCCAGTACCTTGGTGAGTCAGAACCGAATTCGGTTTTGCTTCATCAGTATAGTATCCAGTTGGTCTCCCCTTCGATGAATATCCAGTGTTGTATCCAGTTGGTTTCGCCGTTGACGAAACGTTCCAGTATTCACCGCCGGTAGGAAGAATAGACGAGGAGCGACTGATCGAGGAACGACTCGAACTGGAATGACTAGAAGTGGAACGAGTACTGCGCTTACTAGTTGACATGGTCATGTTATAGGGTGTATCTGGCATGACGTTCCTCGAAGACGTCTGTTTCTCATATGTAGAAGAGCCTGAGCAACCCTCGAGGGTTTTGGTGATGGTAACGTAGTTGATGCTGGTTACAGTCATCGTCATATTGTGCGAGGCCAGTGTTGCAGTGCTCGACTTTGGCCACGCAGAGGACATAGACCAGGCTGTGCCAGCTGTACCAGCGGTGCCATGTGTTCCGACGCCAGTCCAGTGGACTCCTGGTATATCTGGCATTGCGGTAGGGGTCAAGGACGAGAGAGTTGGGGCGGGTGTGGTTAATGGATATGCAGGTCCCGTGTGAGAGCTCTCAGATTTCGGAGTATAGCCGGGCATACCGATCATAGAGCCTTCGATTACAGATAAGCTAGACGAAGCTTTCGACAGGGCCTCGCAGAGCGAAGAAGAAAGAGAGGATAGTATCGATTCCATCGAGCCGCCAGGAACATCCGGTGTTGGTATAGGCCAAGTGGTTGTTGGAGGAACTGTCGGGGCGGGCATTGGGAGCAGAACCTCGGTTGTCGTCTTAGGGAGGAGTGTATATTCCATTCCAGGTGTCCCAGGAGTGCCCTCCAAGAAGTTAGCATATGGAATTGTATTCTCAAGAGGGAAGGGGAGTGTCCAAGGTAGAATCTTTCACAGCCACTTAGGGTAGGACGTCAGAAGCGAGAACAAAAGGAAAAGGTTCATACAGGAGTGCCAGGAGTGCCCTACAAGAAGTCAGCATGTGTAATATGGTTTTATTTCAAGTGGAAAGAGGAGCGAAGGATGAAAATCTTTGACGGCCACTTGGGGTGGGAGTTTAGAAGGGAAAACAATGGGAAATTTGCGTACTGGAGTTCCATCAATTCCAGGAGTGCCCTTTAGAAGTTAGCATGTGAATAAATGTATGTATCAAATGGAAAGAGAAGTGAAGGATGAAACCTTTTCGCAGTGAAGGAGCTCAGAAGAGAGAGCAAAGGAAAATATTGCATACCGGAGTACCAGGAGTTCCATCCGTCCCCGGAACACCTTCGTGTGGAACAAAGACTGGAGATGTAATGACAGGCTCAGGCGTTATGTGAGGAGGGACGATAATTCCAATACCTGTTATACCTGGAAGTGGAGAATATGGAGTTGGAACGACAGACTCTGTCGCCATCTGAGGAGTGGTTGTAGAAGATGCTGATCCATACGGCGAGTTGACTTCTGGAGCTGGGGCGACACTTGGGCCAACACCTGGATTGTCAACGACGCCAGGAGTAAACCCTGGGACGACACCTGGAGTAGATTCCAACGCAGGCGCCTCCACTGAAGTTGGGACTGTTGGGACTGCGGGGGTGTCGTATGGTGGGATGACTGATGAAATTAAGGTGACTGCTGGATACGTGACAGGTGATGGAGGAAGTTGATACGCCGGTGGGCCTTCACCCATCGATGTAGTTTTACTAACAAACGCTTTATCAGGTGGCGGTAAAGTCTCAGCATTGGAAGGCGCATATTGCGGAACCGTCTCTTGTTGGTACCCCATCGTACTCATCGTACCAGCAGGCTCTGTTAAACGTATTAGAAGGTGGTTGGTAGCCTATAGTATTCACCATACCAGTAACTGCCGTATATGGCTTGTCCATGGTTTCAGAAGTCTTATACTCAGGCTCTGGCGGGGGAGTAGGTATGGCATCCCTAGGGACAAACACCGGATTGCCACTAACGAGAGTGATGAGGATAGTAAAAAGCGCGAACATGGTGCTCGAGAAGAGAAGAGCGGAAGCCATAATAAGAAGTCTTGAATATATTTCTTATTCGTGGTCGTGATGGAGGAAAGGATGATGTGTTTCTTGGAAGTGCTTCCAAGTCTTATAAAGTGCTGAGCTCGCTTGGAGAAGTTGGAAAAGATAAGGGGAAAAGCGAGTCCTGTTATGGAATCATCTTTTTACGAGAAAAGACCGAAAGAAACAGCTGAAAGTGCAGAGAGTATAACTGAAAAAGCGTCACGGTCCTAAGCTCGCTTCGTAGGTTCCGAGGAGATATTGTGAAGTAACTTGTCGCGAAGCGAAGCCTCTATGAGGAACAACTCGGAGTAAAGAGGGTAGAACAGTTACCTTGAGAAGTTAGCTGAAGTTAAGCTTTTTAACAAGCATTTACATAGGTAGCTTTCTCTCCAGGAATTTAGGAAATGATATAATCGCACCGTCTCGCTTACAAAACATACGAAGAAAAGCGATTCTAATTACTGAATACTCGATATCTAATAAAGCACTGGAAGAAGCACCTGACGTTGGAAGGTTTATAACTAAAAAGGCACTCACAATCCTAGACTCGCTTCAAAGGCCGACCAAGAGGCGTCTGTTAAGCGAGAAGCGAAGCCCATATATGGAATACCTCACAGTGAAGAGAGATGAGCTGTCCTTATTAGTTAGCCAGTTCCGGAATTTTTGGTAGATGTTTACATACGTGGCTTGAATGGTAGGAGATGTTGTAATCTAACCGGGTTTCCCTTTAAGTCGATCTGAATTGCTTATCTCTTGCGATCAAAATGAAGGTTCTCACCAAGTCCATATACAGCCTACAACCTACAACTCGCGAACACTCACGATAGTCCTTTTAAGCCTTTAGTGATCCATGAAAGTCCACCCACAAAAAGAAAAGGACAAATGCTTGCCAAGTCATCAAGTCACATACCTGTAACAGCGCCTTAGCCAAACAACTAAACCCGTGACTCAAAAAAGTGAAACAAGAAACTGAAGACGAGAAAACAATCCAGGCTAGCATTCTCAGAATACAGATTGAAGGGTTACAGGGTATCCTAAAGAGCATAAAGTAACCAAATCACCCAACCCAATCTCCAATCCCTCTCCCAAAAAAGGACAGCCTTAAAAAGGCTCAAAACCACACCAATGCACCAACAATGTCCAATCCTTAGAATTACACCGTTTCCAACACTTTCAAAACTGATTCGACATCCTGTATCAACCTATTCGTAAAACAGGGAGAGTAATTAAAGACTTTATTCCTTGATGGATTCCTCAGTACCCGTCGATGTTTCGCCTTTGGCTCCAAAAGCCCAGCCCATCCAGCTCGCCCTCTTCGCTTTCTTATCGTCGTCAGCATCACCGCTGGTTTTGCGCATCCCAGAGTTATCTTGCACAAGTCTCAAGGGTCGTGGTTTATTCCCAGCAAAGGTCGTTGCCTTCTCCACATTACGTGGAGGACTTTGACTTGGCGGGGTTGATATATCTCCTGAATCTCCACTGGTGCTGCTTGTTTCGCTCTTCATTCCTGGGAAATTGCCAGATGTTGGGACCTGGCTGTTGCTCGGAACGCGATGTTGCGCGTTTGGATTGGCACCTGTGCTTGGAGGGGCGAAGAAAGATTGCGAATGGCGTGGTGTTTGAGGACCGTGAAGTGGAGGTGACGTTTGCCCGCCTTTGTACATTTGATTTACGACACTGGCAGCTCCATTACTGCCAGTGTATTGCTCGCTCATCGGACGGCCTGTACGGAAGCTGCTGGAGCGGTTGAGGCCGAAAGGAATGCTTGGTGCGGTATCCGGGTCAGTAAGAGCAGAGTTAGTCGCTGCGGGCATGAAAGACTGTGGTCGAGGTCTCCGTGTTGCTCCCATTGCCACTGACTTGGCTCGCTGGAGAATTGAGGCTCCACTAGCCTGCTCTTTTGGTGGTGGGGGTGGAAGTTCCTTTTCAGTGTTTGCTCCTGGCTTGAAATCCGAAGATTGGTCAAGTATTTGTTCGAAGTCCTGGTGCTGTAACAGCCTTTCGATGATCTTGTTAATGTATAACGTCAATGCTTTATTCTCGTTCTTGGCCGACTTTAACTCTGCTTCCAAACGTCTGTAATTATCACTCTCTCCCTCAGCGACATCTGAGAGCTCGTCTGCTAGACTAGGTGCTGCAGCCCTGCCCTCCAATGCGCTCAACGCATCTTGGTTCGCGGCAGAACCCATAAATTCGCCCTTCGAAAAGTCTCCGGCAAGTGTTTTCTCTGATAATAATAATTGGTAACTCTCATTGTCTTCCATTAATCGTGCATTCGTCATTCGTGCTTCCAATAATAATCGTTCTACTTCGTGCATCCGTCCACCGCCTATGTTCTCTGATTCGACTAGTTTTATTTGTGCTTCAGCCAGTTCCAGTCGTAGAGACTCGATCAGCTTGTCTTTCTGAAGGACTAGTTTAGAATTGTTTCGAGAATCGCTACGATTGAGGCCAGAAGGAGGCGCAAACTGGCCCTCTAGACTAGGTGAAGAGGTGTTTGCTAATTATGTTAGTTCGTCCTTCACCAACATTGCCAGGGAACATACATCTTCTTGAAAGTCTTGACTCATCATCCACATTAGTCCTCTGGTTCAATGAGTCCTTCAGGCGCTGAATGATGGTTTGCATTTCTTCCTCCCTTGACGCCATCTCCTCCCTTTCCTTTGTCATAGCACTTCTTTCGCCCTCATAAATGTTTTCCAACTCGCGCAATTGTTTGACGACGTTGCGCTTCTCGTTCTCCACTTGCTCCAATCTTTCCTCGTATTCATGTACGCGGTCCTCTAATTTCTCTTGCTCTTTAATTGATTCGTCAAATCGTGCCTGAAGCATCTGTGATTGCTTTTGTGCTTGTTCTGCTGAGGTTTCTGCCTTGAGCAAGCGCTCTTTGAAGTCATCCAACCTGGCAACCTTATCTGCTCGAGCTTGGTCGTCTGCTTCGGATGTTGAGCTGGTATGACTGAGATTTGAAGTGCCTGCGCCAGGTCTCTGCAGTGATGCTCGCGCGGAGACTGGAGTACCATTTCTTATTGATCGGCTTCGAGCGACACCATTTGTAGGTGTTGTCGGAGCTCTGGAGGGGGATGCACCTGGAGGATCTGTGGACGCTCTTCTGCCGCTTGGAGCGCCAGGCAGTGGTTTCTTCGCGGCTGCGGACATGATCCAGTCTTTCGAAAGTATGATATGTTAGATAGAAGCCGTTGAGAGTAACAATGTTGATTGTGGTTGAGAAAGGGAGGCTGTCAAAAAGCTTGTCGTCAAAGTCGCGCTGCGATGGGAGGCTAGCTCGGACTCCTGATGGCAATAAAACTTGATAATAATAGAAGCAAAGGCTCCGCCGAGTATTACGTTGGATTTCTAGCTTCAGCTGAAAGAACGTAACTTTACTGATGATACATGAGGATGGTGATGTTGTCGAGGTGTATGAAAGTGTTGTTGTTAATAAGATAGTTCAGAGCAAATGTGTCAGAGGATACGTTGATGTTGACATTCAGTTGCCCATTTGGAGTCAGCACCAGCAGGGTCCGTTGTGTTTTCGCGATCAACTTTCACCCCTGGGAAACATTACCTTCAGCCGACTTTTTGCATGATTCCACGCGTCCGAGATCATCACAACAACAGCCACAGGCAGGGTATCTGGAATTTGATTTCCAGGTTTCATGCCTTTCGAAACGAAGTAAGCAAGGCAATGCTTGAACCATTCAACTTCTTCTAGTCGCAACTAGGATATTGTTATTAGTCCCTAAGCACTTAGGCCGTGAATAATTGTTGATCATGATCGAGAAAGGTCAAATAAGAATTAACCACCTAAGGACTATTCGATCGAGCCTACTACGTTTTTGATTTTCCCTATTCTAGAAGAAAATGAATGACCCGTGAAGGGTTGTATTGGGCCTCTTGATGAATTGTAGGTGGTGTAAATGCAAGCAGCCCGCTTGTACGAAGCGCAGTCTTTTACGAGGGTCATACATATATAAAATAAAAATAGTTAGAGAGTAAGCTTCCCAGAACTCTGAAAGAAGCGACACTCTACAACATGTATAGATTTTGTTAATGTTGTCACTTATCTCCCTACTCCAGCGCATCTTCTGCTTCAAATTACCAAGTCCCGGCCGTACTGCATAGGCTATCTTATCAGCACGTGATGTTCACCGGACCGACTCGATCCGACAAGTCGCACTTTTCCAATCGCGAAAATAATATCTTCAAAGTTTCCACGACCATCCGACACCACCAAATACGAAATTTAAATTCCTGCCGGAGCGTTTCATCAATCACACACTTTTGAGATCTCAGCATCTCGAACCAACGCAGCGATGGCACCAACAAAGAAGTCCAAGAAGACCGCCGACAGCATCAACTCTCGTCTGGCTTTGGTTATGAAGAGTGGTAAAGGTATGTGAACACAAAGATGCGCCGTAAATTGAAGCATCACCAACTGACAATTTCTCGACAGTCGTCCTCGGATACAAAAGCACTTTGAAGACCCTTCGATCCGGAAAGGCTAAGCTCGTCATTATTGCTGGCAACACTCCTCCTCTCCGAAAGAGTGAACTTGAGTACTACTCCATGCTTTCCAAGACCAATGTCCACCACTTCCAGGGCAACAACGTAAGTTCACAATACATATCTTGCTATGGCTAGGCTTTGGCCTCCCAAGCTTCTGTCGACCAGACTTCGGTCTGCGAGGAAGTCACCCAGCGAAAAAGTCATTAGACTTTGGAGGGTACAATCATTTGCTTACTAGTTTTGCTATACAGATCGAGTTGGGAACTGCTTGCGGAAAGCTCTTCAGATGTTCCACCATGGCCGTCTTGGACGCTGGTGACTCTGATATTTTGAGCGGACAGACCTCTTAGGTGTATGACGGGGAATGGAAAAGGATATTCAAGAGTGCTTGTTCCGAAAAGTTCATAGCATAGACAAATGATATACCCAAGTCAACACTCTTCACCAATCTTGATTTGATTTAATTACTGGTTTGTCTGCCTGGATTTGTGTATCATGCTTTCTGGCAAGTTCTTGCGACGACGATTGATATCTTGTCCGTGTATTTCTCATGGCGTGGAACAGGTGGATCCATATGTTATTTCAAGACATTTATGCTTACCAACGGCCGTAAATTAAACTTGTATGACTCCCTACATGTCGACTAAACTGATATCAAATCAACATTTCGTAGCATTATTTGCCTCCATTTCGGCGCTGAGCTTCAGAGCCGCCTCCGATGCCCTTGCACCGAACAGCGTGACTCCCATTTTTGAAATATTTACGTGGTGTGAGGTTAAGCGAGCCAATGAATCAATCCAGATTGTCTGGCTAGTGGGGCTTCGGATTTTGATTATCAAGCCGTCTGGATAGACAAAAGAAACCGATTGTCCAACCTCTCCATCACCAGAACATCAACTAACGTCAACCTCTGAAATCATTCAAGATGGCACGAAGACCAGCGCGTTGTTACAGATACTGCAAGAACAAGGTGCGTGCGAATTTCCCCTCCGAATCGTCACGTCGAAGCCGAAATGGGGATCATGAATCTGGGTGGCCACAAAGTTGCGCAGGATGATACTGTTGGAGCAGTGACGATTTCGCACTTGCCCGAGAAATAAGCCTTTTGGAAGGAATCAATACTGACTCTGTAATTCTCACAGCCGTATCCTAAGTCCAGATTCAACCGTGGTGTCCCAGACCCAAAGATCCGTATCTTCGATCTCGGCCGAAAGCGTGCGAACGTTGACGAATTCCCTCTCTGCATCCATTTGGTTTCCAATGAGTTGGAGCAACTGAGTTCCGAGGCTCTTGAGGCCGCCCGTATTTGCGCAAACAAGTGAGTTCACCTATGACGATTATGGCGGGGTTCTAGAAATTGGGAAAGGAAAATGGATGGCAGGAAAGCTGGCAGTCTTTCTGGGGACATAGCACTACGAGGCTTATTTGTGATGAGCTGGAGCTATCCTTGAAGTGCCACCAAATCCTCTGTTTCCAAGAAAACTACAAGTTGAAGGGACGGATGTGGAGCTCGATTTCAAAGCCGATACTTTTCGCAATATCAAACGTATACTGACATTCATTTCTTCTAGATACATGGTCAAGACTGCCGGAAAGGAATCCTTCCATCTCCGTGTTCGCGCTCACCCATACCACGTCGTCCGTATCAACAAGATGTTGTCTTGTGCCGGTGCTGATAGACTTCAAACTGGAATGCGTGGTGCTTGGGGAAAGCCAAACGGAACCGTCGCTCGTGTCAGCATCGGTCAGATCATCTTGTCCATCAGAACTCGTGATTCCCGTAAGTTTCATATAATCGCTCGACGAATACAGCGCTAATTCTATACAGACCGTGCCACCGCTCTCGAGGCTCTCCGAAGATCCCAATACAAGTTCCCAGGTCGTCAAAAGATTATCGTTTCCAAGAACTGGGGCTTCACCCCTCTCCGTCGCGAGGAGTATATGGAGAAGAAGGCTTCAGGAAAGGTTTTGGTCGATGGTGCATATGTCCAGTTCTTGAGCAACCACGGAAAGTTGGCCGATAACATCAGACGTTTCCCAGCTGCTTTCCAGGAGGCTTAGGTGTGCACGAATCAATGGGTATTTGGGAAGAATGGCGTATATGTGCAATGGATGGATTATTTGATGTCCTATGGCTATCAGTTTTCTGATCATTGTATTTAAGGAATTTGCTACGACTTCAAAATCAGTTTTCGTGCCACCCAAAAGCATTATTGTGATTCTGCCTCTTTACGGGTTTCATCTAGTTTGAACTATCTACGCTGACCTCTCATGTACCCACTGCAGAGCTGTGATGGTTCCGCCTCATTATGTATATAATATGGCCGAAACTCGCCATGTTGTATATTAGTGACATGACAGGAGTAACTTCCGCTGAACTACTGAGCTGGTCTTGGCAATGCGGTTGATAAGTTGAGTTGGAAGTTCCCATCTATTGGAGTTACAGGAATAGCCAATCGTGTGCCCGTCCTCTAAGACTTTTTGTTATCATTAGAGCACTACAAACAAGACTAGGGGTTACTATGACTTGACTCGATACACCCGCATGAATGGTGGAATCCTGTCAAAGTCAAACGCCGCGAACCGTGGAAACTCCGTGATATTATCTTACTGGCATCCAGACCCGGTTGACTTAAACGTCATGAATAATCTACGGACATGCCAGAAAATAGAATGTCATACAGAAACAGAAAGTAATCATTCGCATTTCTCATCTCACCTACATCCCTTCCACATTTAATATCTTCATGCTACTGCCGATTGTTGGTCGCGACTTTCCCAACATCAGATAAGAAACTCCACGTAGTCGTCGCATCGCGCCTTGACACCGGTGAGCGGTGATCTTGAACTAGCTCCAAGGGTTGTCACCGCAGGACAAGAGTCAGAGTACAAAGAATATTCAGCCGTCATTCAACAAGCGGAAATAGAAACGAGTTTTTCACATCTTACCTCGTCTTGTATTTTTTGATCTCATTTACTATTCTCGAAAGAGCAACTCGCTCGACTGTTACGGGTTACGCCACGCGATAGCCAACAACGCTTGTTTCTTATCGCAGTCATTGACCTCCGTGTCTAAGTCAAGGGACATCCCGTGCGCCCTAGATACATCAGGCTATACTGTTTACATCTTACACAACATTTCACCTCAAAGGTGGCCGTTGGCCATTCTATTCATCCAAAGTCCTGCAGGAAGCTGTTTCTCACATATTACACTGCCTTCGATCGAACGATAACGATCCAACGATGGCCTTCCGTCACTCAACATATCATGCCCCACCCCGCCTCTATACCTCTCGAAACGAGACCGAATCTCAAGCCTTGCCTGTAGTTCCACCTCAAGAACATATCGCAGAGTCGCAAGAATGGATATTGTTCTCTCCAACTGCAGAGTCGACTACGAATCGTACCTATACCACATCTACAGCACGTACGCAGACGGCGGGCCGTTCGCGAATAAGTGATTTTGGGAGTCTTGATACAGCAGCTAGAAGTAATGGATATGATTTCGATGAAAGGAGCGCACAAACAGAGGAAGCTATAGAGGAGGAGGAAGAAGATGGAGAGCTGGACAGTTTAGATAGTCATCTACACGAGTTCAGGGCAGAGCCCAGCGTTTACAGGTCGAGTGGCGTCAAAGAGAATGGCGAGGCTAGTCAGAGCGTATTACCTACACACGATGGACTTGGCAGCTTCCGGGTCGATCAGCCTATGAATGATCAGGATGTGCAGGACCAGTTATATGCTTTCGAGAAGTATAATCCTAGGAGAGTCAAGCGGAGGAGGGAGAGTTTGGAACTAGGGCAGATGGAGCTTGATAGTGATAGGGCGGTGGAAGTAGAGAGGACAAGAAGGATTGAGCAATGGAGGATGGAGCAAAGTAGGTTACTTGTTGATGAGATACAAAAGGAAACGAGAAGGCGGAAACAATCCATGTCCAGTGAGAAAAGAAGTGTGGTGATTGATCAAGAACAGGAGGATATGGCCACTTTGAGTACGGTCGAGTCCTCTGGATATCAGGAGACAGAAGTGGCACAAGATGAAAATCAAAGTTTCTGGAATAGGATCACCAAGAGAGTTATCCAAGACTTGATGGGTATCGATGATGATTTACTATCTATCATATTCGGCGAGTCACTTCCAGAAAGCGACGATTTATCTTCAACTCCGCCGGCCAACCGACGAGCAGCCTCCACACTTATCACCACTCAACAATACCCCGAATCGAGCTGGGAGTACCGCCTACTAGACCGAGTTGCTCGCGAACTTGGAATTCTGGTCAATCAACTCACCGACCACCCAGGCGCTTTGTCAACCTATCTGAAAACACAGCAAGTCCCTCTTCCTTACGCAGGTCTCCCGGTAATTCCAGAAACTGCAAAAGTTCTTACACCTCAACCAACCCTCACCACCTCCCAAGCCGACCCTCAATTCCTTCCCACCATCCCAACCGCCCAAGCAATACCCATCCCTCAAGCCTCCACCTCCTTCACTCCTACACAAATCGACGAAGACGCCACACCCCGTCAATCCCCCACCATCACACCAGAAGAATGGGAACGAGATCTCGACATCAAAATGGTCTTCCGCTACCTCCGCTCCCGCTTTACGGGTCGTCCTTCTCCTCCTACCCTAAATACCTCTACCTCTTTACCCTCAACCTCCATCGGCACGTCTCATCTCGCAACCGCATCCACCTCGGAAACGGCAGCGCGTGCAGCGCGCGTGAGACAGCATCATCCGCTTGTCACGCATACACGACGTCGCTCTGTCGAGCGTAGAACGTTCAAACCTTCGGTCCCGACCGCGCCGGGGATTGTGAGGAGAGGAAGTAGTAGTTGTGCGTCTGAACGGATGAGGAGTGCGGGGAGTAGTCGGCATTATTGGGATTTTGGGGGCAGTGTTGGGAGTGGGAGTATGATCGCGGGCGGGAATGTGGGGAGTTGGGGTGAGGTTTAGGTGTTGAGCTTTTGGTTTGGATGGGTTTTGAGTAGAAGGGCGTTTTGAGCGGGTAGCATGGGCATGGTTTAGGAGGGGCGTGGCATTTACGAGTGGTATGGTATGGTAGATGAGAGTATGATTTTATGAGAATTTTCGCTTTATCTTTCTTGAAAGATTTGAAGATATGGATGATAGATGAGCGGTTATTTGACTGTGGGCGTTGCAGATTTGGGAGTTTATGAGATAAGGGGGTTTTGCATTTATTTAGTGGGTTGGTGTTGGAGATTTGGTGTGTAGATGTAGCGGAGCCAATTTTTCCACTCTTATTTATGGATTATATCTTTATCATTTTTGGTCGGTGGTGTGAGGTTTTCTTACTCATGTTTTTCGAAACTGTGTAAGCTCTACGTTACGTAGATATGAATGACGAAGGAGATATCTTGAAATAGGGGTAAGCACACCTAGGTGAGCTATCTATTAGGTTGAAAGCATAAGATCGGAGGGTTCAGTGAGGAACTCACCTCTTTTCCAAGGGCTTTTTATACAGGGTTTAGATTTATCAAAACTTTGGTCTGGGTTATAGTATTAACCGCCCCGTGTGGAGAGAAATGTGAGGAGGCTTTTTCTAGTGAGATGGAGTTTGGAAGAGATTAGTTTCGTGGGTTGGTGGCCCCTAGATCTCAGTGGGGTTTGACAGTAATTGAGTGGTTGGCTATATGATTTTCTTACGTATATGTATCCTAGGGCACGGAAATATTGATTTAGAATAACTGTATACTATGTCCTTATCGCGTAAAGGTTATCTACTCACCTCCGGGTTTACGAGGAGGTGTGCTAGAGTCTTACACATTTGACCCGTACATTAGGAGATACTCGTAACACATCTACCAATCCTCATACGATCACAAACAGTCTCCGGGTTAAGAATGAAGTGTCATCTTTCTCGCTACATAAACTCAACCTATGATTTGTTGACTATTTCTACGGTTATGAGAGTTTGTACTGACGGTAAGAGATATGAGTGAGAAGGTCACATATGAATGGGTTTATGGAGGTGCATGGCTGGGGGATAGGTGGGTGGTTTCTTTGTGATAGTCGGTATAGTTTGCTATCGGCTGTGATGTATGTGTGAAATGTATGATGTAGTTGATCCCTTTCTTTGGGTGGATGGAGGGAGGTTGATTAAATAGGTTACGCAATACAGAGATGTTGAGAGACCCAGGTGTTTACTGGGGATGGAGTTCTAGCTTTTTGGCCAGTATTTTCTTTGTCCGTTAATCCGTTCCAGCACGTCACGGCTAATGCCTAATTTTCGTTCGGTCCATCCGCACCTTACAGATCGGGAACTGTGATAAGGTGGTGAAAATTTCTGGACAGGGGCGGTATCTCGACTCCGTAGAACAGTAATTCCATACTTGTAATCTGATCACATTTACCAATTCCTCTCTCGTAGATTCAACGGAATATGTCTATAATTAAGCTGATCCTATAAGGGTTTCGATACTTTATTTTTAGTGTACAGGTTCTATGATGAAGAGATTTAGAATACACCTTATTGTCTCTGATTCTTGAGCTTCCTTGTGATAGTAGCATGGGATTATGCTCCACCAGGTGCTCTTATATCCAAACATTTGTTTGTTCACGGCGACAGACGTCGACGAGAATGGAATATATGGGTATCTTCGTTGAAAACCCATTCAGCCGCGTCCAAATCGTTGTTGTAAGTATAACATCTGATAACTCCCATAGCTAGGGTAAAATGTTGTCGTTAAAGCCATACCATGAGCTTTCTGTATATTCATACATCGTTTCATACTGTAAGCGAGATCTAGTCTACTTTACTTTACATACCTATCTTACACCCCTCTCCCACCGGACCTCGTAGTGAAAGCATCTAAACCACTCAAACCGTTCTCCAGAATCTCCAACTTCTTCTCCAGCTCAGCTCGTTCGGTGACTGTGCGAGTGTCTTCTGAGCCAAGGAGATCCACTTGCTCGTCTGTGAGATCCCATGCCACGTCCGGAGAGAAAATGTGGACTGTCAGTACGGGTGTGTATTTTGGATATTTTTGGGGTGACTTACACATCTGGTAGGCGCTGAATGAGACAGGTTTCTACAGCGTTCACGCTGACGTCGTCGATGAATTTGTTGAGAGCTACCTGGGGTTTGCGTTAGTTTGGTGGTCTGAGGGGTGTATGTGTGGCTTACCTTGTAGTATGCGGCGGCGACATCAGCAGCGAGAGAAACGGAATAGTCTTCTACGTTTGGGCGCATACCGTCCTTCAGGGTCAGGAGCATTTTACGCAATGACATGTTTGTCAGATTTTCTACCGCTAATTTGTTCGGTGTAATCCCGGATGTCTTTTGACACATATCGTCAAAAGCTCGATCATAACGTTCACCTTGAATCTTTTGCACCGTTTCGGTCAGGTATTTGTCGTAGGTAATTGGATGATTCGACAAGTGCGGTTGTAGCAGCTCATCTAGCTTATCTTTCAAGCCGTTTCGAAGGCTGTGTAAAGAAGGTTGGATGAGGCCATTCATGAGGCGAAACCTGGTGTTTTCGTCGCAAATCTGAAACAGCATTTTATTGAAAGTAGTCATGGCAGCTTCGTGAACTTCCTCAGCTAGTTTCTGAGTGATGTTTTCCCAAGGCTTGCACTGTCGACTGAATAGGTCCCCTACCACGAGAGGGTTGAAACTCCCTGGCAGCTCGCGGCCTCTGCATTCGGCCATGAGTTTCTTGACTAATTCCAGATACACGCTTCTCATGACATATGTGGAAGGTGCGCTCCGCGTTGGTTTCTTGTCATCCTCCACCACTTCCAGAGCATGGCCGCTGAGGCACATTCTTCCAGAGTAGAACTCGAGAATTCTCTGAATGTTTGCACGAAGCCTTCTATCAAACGAGTCTGGTTGGTTAGGATAAGACGTAAAGAAAGGGTCGGCGTAGACCCCATCAATTGCTGCTTGGACCATGGTAGATAGGTTGCCACTGCTCCGATGCAGATAAGTGTGCTTTTCTTTCTTAGTGCTGCGCGACTTTCCTAATTGCTGCAGCTTCAGTCTACAGTCTTTGATGCCCGATTGTACGTCGTATTTTACCCCAGGAAGGTTTTCGTGAATCTGCTTCCATAACACATCGCGCAGTCGTTCTCTCAATGCACTCACACCTAGCTGCGATGTTTTGAGAGCGTCTTTCCAGCCAGATTCTGAGAAGAATGCGGTCTCTCGTTTCTCTCGTTGCTCGATCGTATCATTCGCGGTAGAGTGGCTTTTTTATGAAGAACATGCCACCCGAGAGTCAACTTGACGTTCTCGTTTTGAGCCAATTCAACTGGTTTGGTCAGCAAATCTTGTTTCTTGATACAATCCGGTGATGAGAGCAGCCAAAGGAACACCAAAGAAGTCATGTTGCAGCTTTTTGATACACTTTCACATGACTGCACGCTATGGGAAAGATTCGCGTGGGGGTTGGGGGAGTGGCACCTACTATAATATTTTTCACTATCAGATCCTTTATCGATTTTTTCGGGCTTCGTAATCAGCCCAAGAGTTCTGGTCCCCGAAGGATCAATCTGCCGTGCGAACTTGATTACTGGCTGGTAGGCAAAAGCATTATCTGCTGAGATGACGGCAAGTATGATACTTCGCTTCTGCTTCATGTACGAGACAATCAAATTTTGTACCATGGTGGCATCGTCATCCGACCTAAAATAAATGAAGTTAGATTTCTCTTCTAAATAAAATTTTCAGCAGTAAAAAGAACCAAGCAGCTGGCGGAAATTTGTAACTGTAAATTGTATTTCGAACCTTTGGGAAGATAAAGAGAATATGGCAAATTTCTTACTGGTTCTTGTCACTAGCCCCAAAGAGCCCTGGTAGATCAACCAACGTTAAGTTGGGTGCATTTGGCGAAGTACTTTCGATTCGCAGGACATCAGTACTGAATACTTTGGAGTCTGGACCAGTGTCAGAAAGACCCCTTGCAACCTTGGCGGCTTCGATGATTCTGGGAAAACTTCTCTCTTCGCTCTCTTTCTCGTAGAAGTTGAGTAATTTTATTCTTTCCTTTTCAGTCCTCGTAGCAGCAGGCTGAATTTGGACTTTCAGCTCAGATTTTTCGCCTCGTCGGGGAATGAGTTCGGTAGCAAAGCGAGTACACAGCCCTTCAGCAGTGGGAAATGCGATGCCGGAGAGAGATTCGAGTGTCGAACTCTTCCCTGACGATTGACTGCCACATACGATGATCTGAGGAAGATCAATACTATGGAACGAGAGATTAGCATCGTAAGTCAGCAAGTTGAATTTCGGAGGTCTTACTGGTGGCTAACTCCATTGGAGCGAAGAGCATCGACGACGTCCAGAAGATCACGATGATTTCTTGACTGAATAAAACCTGAAGCTTTTTCTGAGATTTGCTCTGCGAGACCAAGCTCCGAAGCCCCTTCCTTGATAACAGAACCCATCTTGGCTCGTTTGTCGCGGTTGATGTTGTCCCTGGCAGGTTCATATAACATAATCCGACACAAGTCTAAGCACTGGATCGATGCAAACGAATTGCAAAGCTGCTTTAACCTGTATGAAAAGAAGCTTGCAGCTCAACTCCAAGTGAATGATTAATAAAGAAAAGGGAACGCGAGTTTCCGTTGGTTTCAGATCCACTTGACGTTTCAGACATCTTCCAAAATTGTCGCGACTCACCTGTGTAAGTTTCTTCGATACTGTACATTCTGTTGAAGCTAGCTTGCGAGCTATGAATTGCAATCACACTTACAAGTAATGGACCAAGGCTAGAACTTGGGTAGAGTTGGATCAAGGTTTGAGGGCCCTCTAATTGGCGATTTGATGTGTGCACGCCGGGCGGTGTACTCCGTAGAACGGCAGAATCGCTCGAAAGGGATGTGACTTCAAAGTTCATCAATCCGAAATGTAATCTTACGAAAATAAGAACCAAGGATAAGAACGAAAAATGATAAAAATAGTGTTAGGACGCGATGAGGGCGCATTCGACACGAAATCCAGGTCCTAATTATAAAGTGTAGTAGCAAAATTTGCTACGATTAAGTAAGGTAAAAACGACGCCGACGCGAAGTGACAGCTTTTTAGCCCATTCACGAGATCTCAAAGCTTGACAAAGCTCGCTTTAAGATAAGAGACTCTATAACCTATACAGCTCTTATAGGTCAGTCAAGCACTCTGCTAAGAGCTCAAGTCATAGGCAAAACACGTCGCGGAGTACAACCCTCGATGATGCACCGCTTCCTCTGGAGCAAAGTATCTCGAAATATTTCCATGTCCATATCCACGTTTGCGTCCGCAAAGTCAAACACGCTGGGAAATGAACATTTCTTCCGCTACACCAGTGGAAGATGGCTATGGGATGAGGAGAAGCAGCTTCAAGAAAGATATAAGAAGTTCAATGTTGAAGAGCTTAAGTGGATTGGCGCTGAGAGCATCGGTGCTAAATTTTGTATCTCGATAACTAAGCTGGACGAGGGGGGCTACAACAAAGTATTCAGGCTGGTAATGGACAATGGTTCGAGTGTCATTGCACGGATACCATGTCCCAATGCTGGCCCACCTTTCAAGACCACCGCGTCTGAAGTTGCAACAATGGATTTTGTGAGGCGCTCTAGGGTTTTGATTGAGAAAGTTGACAGCTGATAATTGGTCCTGCCTTGTAGGCTAGAACTATTCTCAATATATCCGTTCCAAAAGTCCACAGCTGGAGTGCAGTGTTGGACAATCCTGTAGAAGCAGAATACATTTTGATGGAAGAAGCCTGCGGAACGTCACTCGGAGATTCATGGGAAGATATGGGAATACATTCCAAACACAAAATTGTGAAAGATATTGTCTCTATGGATCAGAAGCTACTTTCGATATCCTTCTCACGGTTAGCCCCCCGAAATACGACTTGGAAGACTACTGACACTGTCAGATATGGCAATATATACTTTGCAAAAGATTCCTTTGCAGGATGTGAAAAAGCAGAGATTTCTGGCTATATTTCAGAAGAACTGAAGAAGGAGGTTGAAGAGCGATTCACAATTGGGCCAGTGGTAGGTCATGCGTTCTGGAGAAGAGATCAATCGTCAATGCCAATGGAACGGGGACCTTGTGAGAGACCGAGGCGCTAATATACACGATATACATTTTACGCTAACAGCTTCTAGGGAAAACCGCTAATGACTATCTCAAAGCATCAGCCAATAACCAAATCACCTGGCTGAGTCAGTACGTACCCCGAGAAACATCATCAATTATGTTCCACAAGTCGGAACACAAGAATCTCCCGATGCCCACATCGTCCTCTACAAGAAATATCTTGACATTTCCCCGTACATCTTACCGAAGGATGAAAGGATGACTCGCTCTACTCTTTGGCATTGGGACTTGCATACATCAAACTTGTTTGTGAAAGATGACAAAATTACTTGCATCATTGATTGGCAGTCTAATTGGGCTGGGCCTCTTTTCGTCCAATACCGGTATCCGAAGATCGTGCATTACACTGGCGAGGTCCTGTTAAGGCTCCCTAGAAACTACGAGAGCATGGAAGGGGACGAAAAGGTCAGAGTCAGGTGTCAGGTCGAAAGATCCATTGTGCAATACTTGTACGAGAAAGGGATTAAAGCAGCGAACCCGTTGTTGGCCAATATTATTGCTATTCCACAAAGAACGATAAGGAAGCGAACAATCGCATTTGCTGAGGATTCTTGGGAAGGGGGGATTGCACCCTTCAGACAATGTCTTATTAGATTAGAAAGGTGGTTCTTACTTTGCTACCGATTCACAAACTTAGCTGACGTAGATCACGTAGATATTGGGATGAGATGGGACATAATGCCGGGTGCCCTATCCATTTTACGGAGGAAGATTTACAGAGTCATATGCAGGATGGCGAAGGATTCAACGAGCAGGCTGACTTCTGGGACAGACTAGAAGGGTTTATTTCACGTGATGGATGGACTTCGAATGAGAGGTACGACGAAGCCCTCGAGATGTTCGCTGGAATTCGAGAGGAGGGGCTGAAGCAACTGACTGGTGAGGAGAGGTCCGATTTTGAGAAGCAGAGTAGGTGGGCTCAGAGAAGCACCGCTAGAGCTGATGGTTCTTAAACTGATACCTTTCATCTTTAAATTTCCACGTCGACTGAAATCACGTGTATATACCCTCTACAGTCTCCTAAGCGAGAAATAGCCACCACCCGCATATTGCTCGAAGGTCCGCAGAACAAACACCCGCACGTCCTTCCAAAAAGGGAAATAGTTCTTTCCTTGAGACAAAAGCTTTTGGAAGCAACGAGGCCATGCCTCAAAGCACTTTTAGCTTGCGTTGAAAGCTACTCAATTATTTTGAGAAATGTTACCGAACATTCGCTTCCATTTCTCCTGCAATTCGCCCGGCAAAGATCCTTCCGCAACTTTCCCAAATTGAACTCATAAACTCCCAATCCTCTGTATTCTCTACCCATGTTCATACACCACGCTCGACGATCGAAGTAAGTAGTCGTTCCAGCGCATTTACCCTACGAAGCGCTAGCGCCCCTCGTCTCCCAGGTTCTTCGCTGAATGCCCCATCCGAACGCCGCTTCGGTTTGCTGTAGAAGTAGACGCGTAACTAGGCGCGCGACAAGGACTTATGCAGGTCTGATGATTTTAAAATCCGTTGTTGGATTCTGTAATTGCCTGGCTGCACAGTCTTAACCAATGAACATTCAAATTAACACCAACGTTTCTTCTGAATTCACAGTTTGAAGGGCGTAATCGGAGATCTTGAATTCTCAACCTTATAGCCGCGACGGCCACTAGCTCGAACATTGCCTTGGTCTTGTGATAAGTATCCAGACGTACTTTTGGGCAAGATCGGAGACAAGACGATGATGAGGACCTTGGCGAGCGAGGATGGACTGTTGATTCACTGCTAGTCTTCACAATGTATTCGTCGTTGTGTTCTTTCAAAAACATGCAAGAATTGTTTGGAAGTCCTAACACTGCCGACATTGAATTTCCGCCTCCGCCCAAGTCAGACATATAGTCTACGTCACGCTCTTGGGGTGTCCCAGAGAGGACTTTGCAGATCGTGTTAACAATATGACTTGTAATTGGTGGCAGGATATGCTACCATTTTTGCTTGCTTGACCTGAAATCATACTTTCACGGATCTCGGTCTTGATATGGCCAGATTCGTGCGAAGAGAATTCTCTGCGACTCTGATTCAGCCATATTGATAAACATCTCCCTGACGTTATTATTGATATGCATAGCCTGGTCGTAGTTTTCTCGAAGGACCATGCCGCCTAGTGGGATCAGATTATCGTTGTGAAGTTGGTGCAGGACTTCTCCAAGGCCTTCTGCAAGCTCTTATTCATCACCGTGAAGCTTTAGTTCGTGCTCCGTAAATTGTATCGGACAAGGCGTCGTAGTTGTTGCGACTTCCTTCCATCGAGCCACGACATCTATCAATGTATGACGAAAAGAGAACATGTCATTTCTGCTCCAGGCGCCACATATCAAAGATACAGGTTTGGTCAGAAGCGAGCGATTGTGTAGATTGATAGCGGCCCACCGTTGCTCATTCTTAACCCTGCTAAGAGTCTGATAATGGCTAAGCAGATCCAGAGTCTCGTTGGAGTCTTCTGTTGCATTCAATCGTTCACCAGGGGAGGAAGGGTCGACTGGGATCAGCATACGCGGGATGGTATGCTGAAGGAAAGGCTCAGATACCGAGGCCGATGGCCAGTCAATAACGCAAGTGATTTTCTTCGTGTCTGGATCAACGAATATATTATCGAGGTGAAGGTCTGGATGCGAGAGTGATGTTCGGAACAGACCAGAAGACAGGTGGGGGATGAGTTGAAGGTACCGCTCTCAGAGTGAAATGTAGTCATTGGGAGAGTCGGGCGTTTCATCAGATCGATGACTGTTCATTTGGGACTTTGCGTATGCCGTCGCCCATTGTATCTCGTTAGTCCCCATAACTGCCATGTAGGATGAAGGAGTGTTCCCTTGTTAAGTCAGCAGCCTATTCTCTCAAAGGGACGTAAATAATTTACAAGGACCTCGATCTAAATTCATCGTAGCTTTTTCGTGTTCCCACAATCTTGCTTCAGTCAAGGGCCCAAATGCAAACCCCTCTGTTAGCACAGGGTTGAGCCGTATCGTAAGACCATTAGATAATGAAGATCCGGCTTCGAGATCATAGGCAGGGAGACCTTTCCTGTCCAAATCCTTCTTGTAGTAGATACATCCGTGCCTTCGAAATGAAATTGACGCCAGTTTTGTCTCAAACTCAACGAGCTGAGCAACAAGGCCGAGTTGGGATTCTGTTTGCCACTGGTGCCGAAGGCTCCCTAGTGGTTTGCCTTTTGCTTTCTCCTCAATAATGTACTCGGCACCGACTGGATTAAGAGGATCTAAAGAATATGTGTATATGTGCGGGACGGGTAACTTCAAGACCGTACGTAGCTAAAATAGACGGTCAGAACCTCATCAACAACACCAGCGTGATAAATCACTTACAAAATGCCGTGTAGCAACCTCAGAGGCAGTTGTATAGAAAGCCGGACCAGCGTTAGGATTAGGAATCTTTACTATGACCTCTGCCCCATTATCCATAGTCATAAGAAATGCCTTGTTATATTGACCTTCGGTGCATTTCAGTAGCTTCACACCTAAGATCGTAGAAATATCAGATTCGACTCTGACCGCAGCTTCGGGATCGATGAAAATAAAATCTTACAAGACCTAGCACAGTTACCAGCAGCGTTGACGGCGCCATCTACAAAAGCCGATACATTGAATTTGCGATAACGCATCGCAAGGTTTTCGGATTCGTTACACCTCGCTGTTGTTAGTTCACTTGATCATATGGTGAAATTCGGTGCCGTACAGCCACCGCTATCGAGTATATCGATAAAGCTCCCCTTCTAATATTTCTTCATCTATGGTACTAGATGAGCAAAACATTCCCAGACTCAAACTGGATGTCTCTAGCTTACCCAAATCATCTTCCTTTTGCCTTCGAAAGACGGGCATTGCCATGGCCTTCATCGTCCGACGAGACACTTGCTTTTGATAGTGCCAGGGGCCGTTGCACCGAGTAGCTTTGCGAGTAAAACTCAATGTAAGGGAGTTGAAATTGCAAGAGGAGAATTTCCTCATGGTTGTGCTAACGAGCAGACTCGGAGCAGTAAATTAGTAATAGCCTCCCAAGGTGAAGAAGGAAGAAGCCGAGAAGTAAGCGCTGCTAAAGCTCTACTTCTATAACCCGCACTCCGTTCAGCGAACATTGCTGCCCATGAACGCGACTTGTACCAAAGTCTACGAAATTTCGAGTTACTTCCAGGTTACCAGTCGCCTCGGATAAGCCTAATCACGTGCTAAAAGTCACGAGTTCAACGGATAACTCAGACGTGTTTCAAGGGGAATCAACTTTGCGCGCACCCTCACACCCAGACTTCGATTATGGTACCTATTCGCACCTTCAAACAATGAATAATGTGGTCGCTCCGTACGCAATTACCACATGCATTGCCTGGGGGACCAATTTACTACAGAGTTTTAGTCTGGTGGGGCAACTTCTCCATATCTCAATTCCGCGTCCGGGCTCCACGCCTCTCGAAAATAAAATACGTTCAAGTAGTTATCGAGCAGTACGCACGGGTTCACGATAAAGCTCACCTAGAGAATGCGTATGCTTAACGGTCTGGACAAAAAACGTAGAAGCTATCTCTGCCTGCCTGCGGCTTAGCGGTGGAAAAGTCAAACCTGTATGCACTCTCTCCCCAGAGTCCCAGCCCTTAAGTCCGTTGTACCTACACCATGAAGCTTACTAATGAAGCACACTATTGAGTATTAGGAGCCGAAACATTCCATCTGGGTATTAAAGGTAATTAATTATGTTATCGATCCTCGCTATCCCTCTAAAATCAGGTTCAAAACCTTCCAAACATCGAGGACCGTCTGCACTTGGGAAATCGACAACGTCTTACTATGACAGCCGCCAATGCATGTGCTGTAAGTACAGCATTCTTGATTTATGTGGAGAAATAATCAGCGAAAGTTTTCTAATTAGATCCGACTAAGCTCAACTTGCCCGTCGACCGTTGAGGGTATGCTCTGCCAGATCGTAGAGTTCCTTGTACTATAAAATACCCCCTCGCTCTCTGTTCTTTCTTTCTTTGAAACCTTTTCCCACTTCATTTTCTAGTATCTAGGCCTAAATAGCCAAAGGATGTACCGACATGTATTCGACATGTATTCGGCTCAAGAAGAAAACGACGTCATGTTTGGGTTCGCGGTAATCTGGTATGAGTGATTCAAGAATGGGAATAGAGTTTACATCTAAAACGGGGATAGGGAGAACCTCTTTTGGATCCCCTTTTAGCAACAGTATATTTTCCGAGCGGCTTCGTAAGCCGAGTGCTAAAGGCTATCATCTACATTCATCTTCCCTCTTACCCTAATTCTTTGCCTGTGTCAGTGCCTAGGACTCTGCATAGTAGGGAAACATGTTCACCGCGTGATCGCATAATTTCCTAGATTGCTTCCTATTACGTCCTGTCTAAACACTAGACTTATCCTTTCAGCATAGCATCTGTCTAAGCCTATGTCGTTGGTATTACGTATGCCGGTCCTGTGATTGTAATATCTATACCTCCTTTTTGACGCGCTTTTACAACCGACCTTCTGTATTTAAATCTGTTCTATTTCTACTCCCAATTATGGCGTAACCCTTCTCTATCTGAATCCCTCGAACTCTAAGTGCCATTAATCGCAGCTTGAATCGAATTGGCTTGTTAACAAGCAGCAAAGGATTTTAGGTAATGTTAATACTATTCCTAGTAGGTTACAATCGATAAATAACTAGGTCAGCGGTACAAGCGATGTCTTCGCGTAGACCCATCCCTTAGGAGAGATCCTGACGTACAGCTCTGGAAACCGTTATCTTGTTTGATTCGGGCGAAGTAAAATGCCATCGTTATGAACTGTTGCCGCAGAAGAACTAGCGGTTAGCTCTACCTCCTTTTCTGTTCTAATGACTGTTGCTGTGCAAAATTATATCCAGTCAGCTAAAAATCTAAATATAGGATTGTGAGTTGGTTACTCTAGTAGTTCCTGGTCAACGCTCCCTTGAAAAATGAGTCAAAATGTAATATATGTTGGATAAAGGTATTTCATGCCACATACGACCATAGACTCAGGAGAATCGGGCATCCCGTCCGCTCTGCCATACGCAAGCCTGAGATCGGCAGATTAGTAGTTGGGTGGGTGACCACCAGCGAATACCTGCTGTTGTATGTTTTGCATTTTTGGACAATTTTCTTTATCTCGGGAGCTGGCAACCCTGCAGGTGGGTGACGAAATGGAAATGTGCCTGTAAAGTTGAGTAACCAAGCTTTTGGACTTAGGTAAAGCCTCTTTTCCTTTTTTGTCGCGTTCGATAATCATTCCTTTCGTAGAGCGTTACAAGTAGTCAGAATTAGAAGTATAAAAGCTAAGCGATGTTTAAATATGCCTACCTATACTTTGGACGAGTAAAAGCTGGGCCGTCGGAACTTTGAAGTAGATAACTCATTCAAGGATTGTGTCTGTGACTTTCTAGATAGGACACTTTTTAAAAGTTAATACAATGAACAATGGAAGTCGTGGTGTTCTGAAACCCATTTTGCATCCAAGGGGGACAAAATAGCAAAGTCAAGGAATCGAATTCAAATACTTGTAAATTCTTAAACATCTTGCTCAACTCTCAAAAGCTTCCTTAATTACACCAGCAAATTCTCCCAAACTTTTATAAGTGGCCGCCAAATTCACATCGTCTCCTGCCTCGGCTCTGGTGCCTCCCATCTGCGCAACATCATCCCCAGGTCTCCTCTCAATCCACACACTTGGTCGCATCCCCATCTTCTTCACCGGCCGATGATCATGTAACAAACTCTGCGCAACCATAAGAATCTCCTCTTTCTTCGCACCAAACTCTTCGAATGCGTGATCGAACAAGTATTGAAAATTCCGCGGATCGGGTTTATAAGAACCGATGTCCTCAGCGGTGTAAATGGCGTCGAATTTCACACCTTGAAGCGGTCCGGAGTTAGTACGTGCGAAAGAGGCTTTATCGACGTTAGAAAGAACGATTAGTTTGTAGTGTTTTCCTAGTTCTTTTATCGCTTCGACGGTATCTGGGAATGCGGGCCATGTCCCTATAGTAGCGCCAAACTTCTCGGCTTCGGAGTCTGAAGTCTCGATTTCTAATTCCTCGGCTAGTTTTAACCAGACTTTGGAGAGGACTTTGGAGTATGGTAGACTGGGTTCCGCGGCTTGGACGGAGAGTTCTAGGTATGTATAGCGGCTTAGGATGTACCGTCGGATTTCTTGAGCCGTGTGTTTGGAGGGATGGTGTGGTGATGAGGTGGAGAGCTTCTCGAGGAGGGGAAGAAGCGAGGTGTAGAGACCAGTTTCCCAGTCTATTAAAGTCCCGTAGATGTCGAAAGAGAGGACTTTGTAGGATTTGGGCTCGAGTGACATTTTGATATTGTAGTAGTTGTGAGTTTTCTGGGAAATTGCTTGATGAGCTGAAGTGGCAGGCAAATGCTTTATTTCGTGGATGCAATACGATCTGGACTTAATAACGTGTTTTAATAAATCAGCAAACTTAACAAGTTGTTAGGTCTTGTAAACAGCCCCAAGGACAAGTCCCCGGTTTTATATACTCGTGATGCCGTTGAAAGTGGGGAATAAGTTACGTTCTTGGCGGCCTCGAAGGGCGCGAAGTCAGAATTTTGACACGACTTTCTATTGAATGAAGCAAAAATGGAAGAAGATCTTATTATTCGTCATTTTACATTACGAATCTGATCGCCACTCTTTGTACGTGAAAATCTGAACAGCTTCTTAGGAACATGGAGGGGTCGTCATTTGCACATCTCGCTACGATCCGAGCGACCCACTTTCCGAGAGCTTCTGGCACAGCTCCGTATTTCTTCCAACGTCAACACCAAACACACTGAGTCTTGCCATCTCAAAGGCGTAGTGACTCACGACCTTCTTGTATGTGTATTCCGAGTTTATGTTGCAACAACAGTGCTCGGAGCGAGAAGAGCACCTCTGCCACAAGGACGGTTCGTCCATGAATCCTCTCATTTTCAACGCCTGATATCGTTAGAAAAGCATTGGCTTGAAATGCAACATTATTCATTCGGTAGAAGCCGGCGAAGCGAATGCTGTTATGTTCCAGATAAGGCTAGCTAAACACTGATAGTATTCTGGACTGGCCTATTCCCGGGCCATGCCGTGTTGTGAGGTAGAATGGTAGTCTGTCTATCGAATCCGCCTTGCGCCACATGGCAAGTACCAGTTCAAGATAATCGAAGTATCTATCAACTCGACTCGTTTATACTGTGGCGTGCATGTCATGCATCGCAATTGCCCCAAGTTATTGATGTCAAGCTTGGCGACTCAAAGAGCGTTGTATTATGTGGTAGCACATTGGAACGAGGCTGGAGCTGAGTACATGTAAAAGCCTCCACTGAATTCGGTGAGGTCGTTAACCGGATCTGGGTTCCTGGGCAGGCAAAATGTCGCAAGGCTACGAAAGCAAGTTATGACATTGGCTGTTCCATTATTGATCGACAATTGTGGAATACTTGGAAATATGAAATGAATTTGTGTAACATATGAAACAGAGATAAAATGTGGGCCTTTTCTCTGTTTCCTCGCTTTTCAGTAACAACATGCAATCTCACCACGCTTTGGGGCTCTTGAGGTCACCGAGTTATCAAGTCCAACGCTATGGCACTCGTCTAGCTGAGAATACATTCTGGATATTCAGCACGAACATTAGTCTCCGAAATCCACCGATCATCTTTTAATCCGTAAGTCTGTTACCAGATTTGTGGAGCAAAGAAACTGATCTACTACAGAAGATGCCGACAGAAGTGGTGAACGGCGATGCTCTTGCTACATCGAATGGTCATACTGGAGGACCTTTTCAGGACAGATCTGTCACGAAGGATGGCCAAACCGTCGAGATGGAAGAAATAGCGGCGAATGAGACTGGCGTGCCAACCAAGAAGCGTGGAAAAGAGCCTTCCATGCCTCCCTTTTCCACGACCAAAGATGATGAGAGAGGCACGAGACTAGGACAGGAAAGTCGTGAGGAACCAACCACAGCGGAAGCTTCACGAAACAACAGATTTCATCACCAACAAGACTCTAGCAGCAGTGCTGCAGATGGATACTATCAAACCTCTCGTCACAATAAACGAGCGCCTTCCATGGAAGAACGAAAGAGGTCCGAAGTCTCACAGTTTCATTCTGAAAGCCAGCCATCCCCGTTCTCGGAACGCCGCAGTGTCCTTCCAAGGCCAGCCGATGCCAATCATCAAAGGCACCAATACATGAATGGTATTGGAGGTCTCCAGGTTGTTCCTGATATTCCGCCGGTTGCTGAAAGACGAAAGTTTGTTCCCAGCGATGTCTTACCTCCAACTAGGCTTTGGCGTCTGGTTGTAGGAGCTGTCTTCGTTGCCCTTATTGCTATAATCATAGCTTTGGGAGTACTAGTATCTCGAAATAAAGTCGCACCAGCATGTCCACCATTGAACAACTCAACGGGAACAGAGACGTCGGGTCCGATTCAAATAGTGCCTCTCGTGAGCAACAACCCGCCGGGTTCCGTGCTCTCCCAGACTGAAAGCATAGCTGCTACCGATGTCATCTTGGGCACTTTCTTTGCTCCTAACATCGACAAACCACAGACTCGGGTAGTGTTTGACGGTGGCAACGGAAAGTTATGCGTGAGAACGAAACTTGGCGCCGCTTTTATACCGCAGGTGAAGTGCATCGAAGGCACAAACGCAAAAGTCTCTACCCCGATCCAACTAGTCGACTGGTTGGGTGGTCCGACTATCGTATATATTACGAGCGACAACCACCTCGCTGGCTATAATCATGTGCCGAATAACGACAGTTGGATTCTATCCCCGCTAGGGAGTACCAACATAACAGTTCATCCTAAATCGCAGCTCTCATCTGTAACTTGGCTCAATGGAACCTCTCTGTGGATTTACTATCAAGGAACTGATGGTCAGCTTCGTGAATGGGGGCTCGACGACTACAGAGACATCTCTTTCCGAGAAGGATCCGCTGGGCCACTTGGGGCCGCTGTCGCTGGGTCTTTCTTCGGAGCCACACGTTACGTCGTCGGTGACAGTGAGTTTGAAGAAGCCTGCTATCAAGCTACCAACGGGGCATTGCATTGCCGCAGATATGCCAACGCTATCTGGGGTAGCGAAGTCTTCACCATTGCTGGAACGGAAACGGGACTGGCGTTGCCCGCGAGCTTCGATTACACCACGGTCATCGATCCAGTGACAAGAGTGAGTAGCCTTGCTGTCGCTTATATCAAGCAGAATGGCTTTGTGACAGTACAATCGCGTTCAACCGCCAATGGAACAGACTTGGGGGCGTTCGGCCCGGGCATTCAGGTAACGCAGGGAGACGGTAGCAGTACTGCAGGTCTCGTTATTACAGGTGAAACCGGAACGGTGAACATATACCTGAAGAGATCACCTGTTTCTGGGGGAAAGATCTACCAGTACAGCTCGAATGTTTCCATGACTGCTTGGACACAAGGTTCCGAGTTCTCTGCTTGATTGTTTTCACGACTTTAACGATACCCATATGTAGTTAATCTTCTCTTTTCCGTCTCTTTTCTTTCTCAGGCGAGTCGTTCCGGGCGTAGGCAAGGTAACAAGGATCCGTGGTTGGAATCTGATTCGGGAGGTAACATATCACAACATGAACTGCCCATTGCGCCCTTTCGCCTGGTCATGCTCGTGACTGTCACATTTCATCCATGAACTCGGTGGACACAGAGTTGTACCTACTTGCCCTTCTTCCTGCTTTTCGCCCACCGCAAATTATAGTCTACGGGTCTGTTCGAAATGTAATAAAGCAGGTATGCTGCAATATTCCATCTCCATTTCCGTAAGTGTGCGGGAGATCACTGCTGTCCGGCCGATTCGTACCGAGAATGCACGATGCACTGAGATGAAACACGGGCACCCCACAAAACCTTCAATTCGTACAAGACAAAGTTAGCTTCTTAGTTCAGCCTCGATCTCGCTTGGGATGAGGAAAGTCGCGGTTTGTCCAGAGGCCTCACCGTACTAGATTTTGCATGAATCGCTAGAGCGCTTCCTTAACAAGCGAACTCCACTGTGCGCAATCTGATGCACCGCGGCGCTCACTGTAGATCTGTCTGCAATCAAGTTGATATTTCTCGCACGAAGTACTTGTTTTTCCAACTCTTTCTGCATCTCAACGTACAGTTGTTGCTGCGTGAGAGACAATCTGTTGTGCTCTCGAAATGTGGGGTAGCGGACCGAGCACGAAAAGGGGCGAATAAGCGAGCCTGATTCGGGCTCCTCGGGAGGAGGGAGGGCCTGAGTGGCCACTAGCGGGTGTCTCCTTTCAGCGTCCTTTTAAGGAATTGGAGCTCTCGGCTAGCTGAGCAGACTCCCTCTGGATCTTGAGAGACTCGAACGGTCATGCTCATGGAGACTTTTGGGGGCTTCAAGAGAAACACTTACTCGCCACCAACCAAGCGGCTCGTATTCACGGTTGATCGATTGCACCCTTGAGAAGATCTTGTGGAGTGCCGAGTATAAAGCACGGAGGTTCCTTGAAAGAATTGAGGTGGCATGCATGAAATGTTACTATTCAGGGCTTCGTGCACCTGCCAGCGGGCCTTGGCCGCATTACACGCATCGTCTAACCCTGCAAAGCAAGGCCTGTCTCCATCGAATTGGGTAAAATCCAAATTTCGAGGACCACTTCAAGGTAAATCTCCTGCCGGGCCAAAGCACCTTGGATGCGCGATGCGGTAAGATCTCCTGTCGTTTATTGATATTAAGACGAGAAGCACCCTCTTTTGACGGCATCCTACTCTTCAAGCAGACTTCAAGTCCATCTTGCTCGAGTTGCTGATATACATTGATCGACGCGTTTGCTCGCTGTCGACGTCCTTTCGCTTAAATTTATTTCATTTACACATCTAATCATGAAGAACATCTTCAATTCTGCGGCTCTTCTGGGTCTTTCGTGGCTAGGCCTTGCCCCGACAGCGCAAAGTGCCTGCTCAACTAATCTGGTAATCGATAATTATTCCAACTATGCCAAAAACCTCAACAGTCTAGGGCAATGGACGAGTGGTATGTTACCTCATTGTTTGTGCTGAAGTGGTAATTCTAACCGCAATCATAGATGATGGCACCACTACAAACCTCAAGGCAGATACTGCCAACAAGAAGATCACATTTACAGGAGGCAGCTCAAGCTACTTTTATACGACCTTTGTATGCGAAG